ATGAACTGCAGGCAAAATGGTTGTCTGCATATTGCCCACCTTCCAGAGATCATGCAAATACTTCACACCATACAATTGGGAAATGAAACATTAAAAAGTGTTAGGGTTAGTGAATTAGTATAGCTAAAGTGTCCCTCTTATAAAGCAACGTCAAATCTTTTATCTGGTAGGGTGGCAAAGGTGGGAGAGGAAGGGGGAAGGGAAGGAGAAATATAGTGTCTGTTCCTCACTGCCACCCTCACTTCCGCTGGATATTTACCAGCCCCAAAATGCACCCAAGTTTGATCTTCTCTATGAACTCCCTTTGTAGCTAAGTGACTGACAGATAAGCCTTTCACTAATCTACTTGGCAGGAAGAGGAAGAAGAGGAGGCGGAAGACGAAGAGACGGAGGGCGAGGCGATGGCTCGGATTGAAGGAGAAATCGGCAATCGCGTTGAGATTGGAATTGCAAATGCGGAAGAAGTGCTCGAAGCCTTCACTGAAGCCAAAATTCCCCACTTCTCCATTCGTGCTGATGATCAGTTAACCCGTGTTCGCTACCGCCTTGTCAAGGTGATTGATTGTATCTATTTATAGTTACTCCAATGCTGAATAGCCAATCGGAGCCATCTGACCTCTTCATGACTGTATAGAAAATTAAGAGCCTCATCCTCAATCGCGAGGCCATATTCGAGAGGGTGTATCCGATCACTCTAGAGGAGGGGGAAAACCTCGTAGCCAGTGGATTTAAACACCTCTCACCCTTTACTCGATTCTGCCCAGTCTCGTGGGACCGTGTTGCTCTCGCTCGTCTTCCTCCCATCAATCCTTCGCCCATTCTCCGCTATTCTCGTCTGGATCGACGCCTCGTGGAAGCCCAACTGGGCGATGAGATTGATCCAAATGCGGCCATTAAAAAGAGCAAAAAGGGCTCGGCAGGCGCGATACAAACGTGTTGTGCGGTATATAGGGAATGCGTCTACTGGTTTTCCTCAGAGGCTGAGAGAAGGGTGTTCATGGCAAACCCGATCGCGGTGATCAGAATGGCTGGAGAGCAGACACAGACTCTGGCACATCAACCGCTTCAGGTAGCTGTCATTGGTGGACCCACATCCGAACGGGAGTTCAGTGAGTGTTTACGTCATCTGCTAACCAGTATTTGTAAAAATTGGATTCGATATCTCCTTTCCTGAGGATTTGCCCATCACGCTAGCCCGAAGTCGCCTGTAGACATGAGCAGGCATGCACACAGAATTGCAGGCACGCTTGTCATCCTGATTCGTGTCATCTAGGACCGGATCACGACGTGTGTGGTACACTGAAATAATTTGTCTTTATTTTAGTATCAAGACGCCTTGGGACAGATTTGCACGTGGTTTACGTGACCACGACAAGGGCGGTTCAATGGCTACTCAGTTCAGTGTGTCAAAGCTGGACAGCCCTAGCAGGACAGATTCGGGGGGTCGTCATGAGTGGGGCGGCACTTTGTGACGACCTAGTAACTAAGGCCCTCCGAGTGGCTCTCCTTGCTCCACAGATCCAGGCCAGGGGGTGGGTTCAAATCACTACACCTTTTATTTTTGCGCCACAGAAAAAGGTGGGAAAAACGCTGTCTGATCACCCAGTTTGGTGGGTTGTAGATACATTCTGGACAATTACCCGATTACAATGGATCAAGCAAAGTTTATGCATGCTGCGTCAATCCAACCATTGCTTATGTTGGAACTGCATAGCAAACATTGCCATCATCCGTGAGTTTAATTGACGACTTTTTTGTCTTCTTTGAAGAAAATGCAGAAATAGGTTCCTTGAAATAGTAGCTAGATATGTATCAAAGAGAGTTATGCCATGAAACAGCACTGGCGACTCATTTGCTATAGTAGAGGAAACAGGAATTATGGACTAAGAAGCAGAGTTGTCTTGAGACCAGAAAGGTGCTGGGAGAGAAGTGGTCCAGGTAGCAAGAATGGAATCCCATAAGACTGTAGGGAAAATCAAGTTTTAATGACCTCGGATAAGTCGCCCTGGTAAACTATCCTCAAATGACTTTCCGCTACATAGGAAGGTTGTTGAAGTTGTTTTTTAACGAGACAGGAGCCAGATGTCAGTTGTTAGCATCCAAACTGTGTCTGTTCTGCCTCTCGTGTATTCTCGTAATCATCCAGACTCAGAATAAGTTGACAATCATCCGGACCCGCGTTTTACGAGAATGAAAGGGAAGAATGGGTCGACGTCTTCGCACAGATGGGTTGTGAGGTTGAAACCTGATGCTATCGAGGGTCATGCTTGACCACCGCCTAGTAGACAGGTCTCAATTGAGGTTGTCCACTGTTCTACAAGGAGTTAATCGTGAATAATCCCATCAGTATCCCACTATCCGCGAGGCCCTTGAAGTCCCCTGAAAATGACGTTGTACATGTCATGGAAATTGAGTGTTGCGAGGTGACCAGTCATGCGTCATTCATCCATCTAACAGCGGCACGAATGACGTGAAATAAAAATACACTGCTGGCCTTTGGCGCGCATTGTCATCTGTTAATACGTAGCATTTGGCACCAGACTTGAGACCTCTCTACTAAGTCTAACAAACTTCTTATGATTTCAGCTTCCGAAATGAGAGGAGGATAATACAGATGGTAAAGAAGCACATCCCGCTGATTGACTCACGCTTAAGGACAATCGCATGCATTTAACAAGTCCCGACAGGTTATGACAATTTGTCAGAGTGAGGAAGGTCGCAAATCGAAAGAGCACTTGATTGACGTGATTAATTTGGATGTTCTGGATTGAGTTCTGGTTTAATGATACCCAAACAATCATTTGACTTCTTCCCTGACCTTTGTAACATAAGGCGGTGTCAGTTGTCCAGTTCACGTCCTATGAAGCACTTTCGCGGTGATTGCGACCCTCATGGTTCTTACCACGCTCCAGTGCTACCTGCCTTACGGGACTTGAGACTAAGTTGGTTCTGAATGATGTAGGTATTTTGATTGTCCATCTGTAGCCTGCCTGCCATAGTAATTAATCCTTATGTCCTCCTAACGATGTTATGAGGACACTATCTTGGGTTATTTTGCAGCAAATGTGCGGTAGAGCCGGAGAGATCAGTGGTGTTGCATAATGCACAATCGGCTAATATCCTCCTTATTTGAGTGGCACAGGTCTCAATTCAGTACAACCTATTGTTCTTGTCACCTTTGTCAATTACCCTTCGGGTAACAATCCCATCACACTGCTCTAAAAAGCATAAATAAAATTTCTACTTACGATGTAAATAACAGCTTATTCCTCCCAACGTCATGTTGATCATCAGTCGCATCTTTTTTGTGCTATACTGACTTTTTCATACTACGTTTCAAAGAAGTTCCTCCGTAGTTAATTAAGCGATGCCTTCCTGAATTATAGATGCCAAGAGAGATGATAACTTTGCCTTTTTCCGCACGTCAGATCCATCGAAGTGAGTTGGTTTGACAATTGGAACAATCAGGAGCCTCCGGACTGTCCATTTCTCAAAGTCTGGCTCAGCATGAAAGCTCGGCGTGGTGGAAAGTGAGTTCCATTTGTGCTGCTTTTATGCTCTCCGAATTTAGGGAGACAGGCAACTCTCCTAGCCAGACTAGATTGCTGTGTCCTTCACCATCCAGCTCCAGAAGTGTGGTTAGCCTGTCAACAGCAACATCACTGTGTTGACTGTCGAAAGCCACAGAGAATGAAGAGTGTTTGTGAGCCCGCGCGTGTAAACTATCAACTTTGATAGTTTTAGAATTGCGTCTTCTTTGCAAACAGCATCGCCAAAACCCATTAGCATGCTACTTTTCAAGGTGGAAGGATGTTGACTTCACGCAGTTACTACATTTCATCCGTTTTGGTCAACTAAAAATTGGTTCATCCGATTGCTTGAATGCAAATGGTCATCAATTGCCCCATCCTCAGGGCGCGGACATTCTACGTCCCACTGTTATTCTTTGCAAGTTCAATCACGCTACAATTACATTTGCCATAAGTTAATGGGGAATGCCAAATGATTGTGACACTAATGTCAAGAGAGTAGACTGATTTTGTGCCCTTATTTTTCCTCAATCCAGCCTTGGTGCAGGTTTAGGAGGACTGGCAGACGGTATAGACGGTTTGGAAGGCGCTGGAGGAGCAGAACTTGAACTTGATGAAGGTGGATTAGGAGGAGCAGGAGGAGGAAGACGGGGGGAGAGAGGATCCGATGAAGACGGCTTAGGCGGCGGCGGACGTGGAGGAAGTGGTGTTGGCGACGATCGTGATGGGGCAGGTGGACGAGGTGGCGTGGGTAGCGGACTCTCTGGAAGCGAAGGTGAAGGAGGAGGTGGTAAAGGGAAAGGCGGCAGAGGAAGAAGCGGTGCCGATGACTCGAGTGGCTCCAGAGGTGGACAGGGTAGACGAAGAGCTAGAGGAGGGAAATACGGTTCAGAAGATTTGGAGGGTGACTCAGATGGACTCGGTCGTGAGGGAAGGGGAAGAGGTAGAAAAGGTGGATTCGGTCTTGATGGTGAATGGGATGAAAGAGACGGTGAAGGAGGATTCGGCAGAAGATATGGAAGAGGAGGTGGAAAGAATGGTTATGATGATGATAGTGGTGGTGGTGGTGGTGGAGAAGACGGCAGTAGACAAGGCAGAAGTCGAGGAAGAGGAAGAGGCTCTGTAGGTTCATCTGACGACAGTGATGGAGAAGGGCGGCGTGGTGGTGGCAGGCATGGGAGAGGTGGAAGAATTGGAAGGAGGGGAGGAAGTGATGTTTCATACGATGAAGACGACAGTCATGGAGGTGGTGGAAGACGTCGTCGGCGTCAGGGAAGGACTCATGGAAGTGAGGACTCCGAAGGCTCTGGGCCTCATGGAAGTCGCCGTAGAAGACACTACGGTGACAGAGATGGCTCTGAAGATGAGGACGATTATTTCTCCCTTTACGGCAAACGCAGTGGACATGACAAGGTTGGCAAGGGTAGATATAGTGATGAAAGTGACGAAGAGGCAGAATGGAGGAGAAGACGTTACAGAAGGATTGATGAAGCATTGGAGAGGCGCTATGGGCTGCCTAGTGTGGAGGCAGATCGACTGCCTGATGAGATTCTCAAACACTTCGCTTATGTCGAGGCTGAGTCGGCGAGACGGGACTGGTTGAAGTCTCACAATGGATCGTTGACGGATATTCCTGCTGAAGAGAACGCTTTGGTTGCACTGAAAAAGGCCCTTCTGACCACCACACATAGAATGGCTCATGTTATGGAGTACAATACCAACAGAAAAAGAAGTAAGTCTTCATTTGCCTACTTCTTCTGTTAATCGAGGGTAAGAACTCCTTTTTGCCATACAATGTGAAAGAATCTAAGCAGTTTATTTTAAGGCACTGGGTACCCTCGAAATCTGACCTCTGGAGAATCTTCGTAGAAAAATCCGCTCGGTTTCCTAGTAGATGATGTTACTATCCGGAAGGCTGTGGACCTTCCCATAGTAAGAAATTGTAAACTTTGTGCTACATTTACTTAATTGCACTGGTCGAAAGCGGAATGCCGCCTTGGCGCCCACTGTGCTATCCCTTCAAAGGTGATAATGTTCGTCGATAGCTGTACTCGCCGTTTCTGAAACGAAAATCGGATCTTATCCAATCTTCCCAAACGATAGGTTAGTCTTGCTGCAGCGAGGCGTTGCACTCGCTCCCTACATATCCACAGAACTGAGTGCTAGGAATGTGGATCTTCATCGGCGCACCGACTTGCTCTTTTCAGGTGGCCTACTGCTAAGTGGCTGAGCGACCCATCACGAACTGAAGTGGGGAGTTATCTACAGACTCGAAATTCATTCTCACTACCACTTATTCCAGGCAGCCTGATCAAAATTGGCTTCACTGAGCGAATCTCACAGTGTGTGGGGTGTCCGTTGGTAATAAGTCTACGCGCTTGTCACTTACTACTGCCTATAGCGCCGCCACGGTAACACCACTTCCTATTCTTGACAAACTAGGGATCTCCACCTGACTTCAAAGTCCTCATACGTCAAACACATCCAAACTCACTCCCTCGCGATGCTTTTCTGTTTCAGACAAACCAATGAGCATCTCAGAGATGGGACTAACAATGGAACAGTTTGAGAAGAAAATTGGTGAATTTGGATGTTACTGTCCAGTGCGACTAGCAGAGAATGACGAACTGTTCGATTGCAGAGAGGAGTACACAGCTCCATTGGTGACTAGGCTTCCCGGAGCGGAAGGCTGCCTTCCAAAAGCTCGCTACAACTCCGCTTTCTGCTCCACCTCTCTACGATACACTGTGGACACCTCAGATGCTGATTTGCATCCTCATATTCCCACAGATTTGAGATTTGCAGTGGAATACAATGGCAAGACGTACAGAACAGCGGGTCCAGAAGAACTGCGCAAATTCATGGCCAATCCGGAGAAGTATCTTCCTCCACAGGCGTTGAAAGCCCTCCCAGGTGTGGATGACCTTCCGAAAAGGCTTCCCGTGGGAACGATTCCTCACGACTCCTTTCCACGGCAAATGGCTTTGCGTGGTTTCTGTCCGGTGTGCTTTCAGGAAACCAGACAGCATTATGAGGGTCTGCGCGAAGGCAATGCCAATATTTTGGCTCTCTACCAGGGTAAAATCTACGCATTTTGCTCGGAGGAGTGTAGAACTAGGTTCATGCAGTAAGTTGACCTAATTTATTGAGCTTTCAAAGCGAATTATTCGCTCAAATCATATCTGGGCGGCATGTTCTGCTTCTGGACACCGTATCCTCATTAAACACCTTGCAACTCTCTTGGCGTGAAGCTTCAGCAGCTTCTCAGCAGAGATAAACTCGATTTGATTGTCAGACAAGCTCCGATCCTATCTATCAGGTTCTGCAGCCGCCATTTAGTGCTGCGAGGAATCTCAATAAAGGGGTGTCAAGTGTATTTGACAGATCCCTGTAAGCTACTCATAGTCTTACAGCTAGCTATAGTGAAGTTTCTTGGTCGACCATAGTGCATACTCAGTAAATATA